ATATCGAGGTACAAAGCGAGATCATCCACCAGATTGCTCTAGAATCCAAATCTAATGAAGAACACCAAGGAAACTCGTGGTGGCTGCTCCTATGATAAAACTACTCTTAATATTTCGGCATATCCCTAACAAAAGGCTAAAAACAAGTATATATAGGCTTACGTTCTTCTAGAGTTCACTTCGGGCAAAACGGTCTTTTTACGTCAAATCCTCTCCCAGTCAGTTTGGCAATGTCAGCCAAGTAACACGACCGGTATTGGGTCCAAAGTGCCTTGATTTGTGCKAGKATCYGCCTGGAATATCGGTCRAKGAGGTGGTCCGGTACTTGGGTCGATTCTGCACTTGCTTCACTTCTGAGGCAGCTTGACATGTCTTCAGTAAATCCAGTGTATCTTCCTTCTCACAGCTCCAATTGAGATGATTCAAACTTCATTATAAATTTGACTCAAAGATCTATCGTTACACCAAGTTTAGTCAAATTCTATATTGATTTGATCCTCCGTACACTGTTGAACTTCTGGCTTATGCATTTTGTCCACTTTGGTAGAATATTGATTCTTGTGAATTCTTGGTTTTTGATGGTGTATTTGGCTTGTGTAAGTTGTTGTGGCTTGGTTTACACCTATTTTGGCTCTTTTAGATCCTTTTTGCTTGATTTCCCTGTAAAGACTCTAAAACTACAAATACGAGAAAAACTACCTTTAAAGGCATAAAACCGTAGATAAATGCTTAGAAAATATAGTAAAATAGATAGTAATATAGGTAAAATATGGGATATATCAGTCACCCCTTCCTTCATCAGACCCTCGTAGATGTCTGACACACAGAGTGCCTGACCGAGGATAGTCTTCTTCTCATTGACCATTTCCGTTTCCAAGCAGTGCTGCTTGAGTTTCCCGAGCTTGACCTCCACCCTCGACAACATCATCTCCTTGGTAAGTTTCCTCTCAGTCCCGACCGCAAGGGATCGAGAGTCCCTCAACCTCTTCTTCTCGTTCTTCAAAGCGAGCGCGTGGGACTTGATAATTTTCCGCTGAACTTCGTTCTCTCTCCGAAGAGTAGCATTTTGGTCAAGCGTACCCTGCGTGCTCTGAACGAGCTCTTTGACTCTCTGCCCGCTCTTAGCGAGCTTCTCCCTATATCCAGCTACCCGGTCGTCAGCCTTCTTCAAAAGTCGTTCATACTGCTCGACCATGTAGTTGGTGCTTACGATTGTTTGCAAGATCAGAAGTGAAAACATGATCGACTGTTGAAATAGATCAAAACGAGCAAAATTAAAATCAAGAGTACCTGAACTACACCCTGCGACCAGTCAACATACTCTTTACGAGCAGAAAGGTGGTTCAGCTTGAATAAGGAGTAGGGCTCTTCTCCTTGGATGCTGCTCGTAACTGCCGCGCATCTATGGGGAAACTGCAGCAGAGGGTGGCCATCTCCTTTAAAGGAGTAGTCAAAGTTGAAGCGACCCAGGTCCAGCTCGCGCTGCTCCTCGTTCACCCCACCCACCGACGGGCTTACAGTCGGGATCGGGGTGACGGTACTTGGAAGAGGCAAAGAGACCTCGCCTTTAGTGCGAGTCCGTTTTTCAGCAGACCCTTCGCCATCATCCACGCTGACCCTCTTGCTCAAACGGGCAGCTGCAAGCTCATCTTGACGAGCTCGGAGGGTAACATTGTCAGACGAGGACCCAGGCTCCTCTGAAACATTGACAACCTCTCGGTCATCACCCCCCGTGAGAGAGCCGGCGATATCAGTGGTAGGCGGGAGGTTAGCTTCAGAAGAAGCCTCAGCAGCATTCTCCTGCGCCTCTTCGGCCCTCT